GGACGGAACCAAGATGATGTAGCTTTGTGCTAAGTCTGGAGTACCATGCCTGAGGGGCTTGCTTCAGACCATATAGTGCTTGTCCAACTTACAGATGTAGTGAGGTGCAGACTCATCCTCATATTCAGGTGCTTGCTTCATGAACACTTCCTCCTCTAGAACACCATGAGGAAACACATTCTATATGCCCAATTGACGAAGGCTCCATCCTCGTGACACACAATGGAGAGTATAAGTTTGATTGTTGCTGCTTTAACAACGGGACATACGAACTATTGCTTGAAGCCTTTAGCTACCAAGCAAGCCTTGTATCGGTCAATGGACCCATAAGCATGTCTCTTTATCTTGTAGACCCATTTGCAATCAATGACATTGCACCCTTGTGCTGGAGTAACTAGATGCCATGTGTTATTCTTGATGATAGCAGAATATTCAACATCCATTGCATTTTTTCTAATTTTTATCAAGTAGTGCATCTTGGAGATTCTAGGGTTCACTAGTTGTAGAGAGAAAACCATATCGAATGATGCCATCGGTGAAGATCCTGGGTTGACGAATCCCATGTTGCAGACGTGTCCTTGGCCGAGGAACAGAAGGAGGATCTGGTGCAGCAACAGGAGTCACTACTACATAACGGGTAATCACCGCCGCCAGTTTCACCGGTGATACTCATCACCGCCGGTTCGTATTACGAACCGTTGGTGAAATGATTTTTACCGCCGGTTCGTGTTATAAACCGTTGGTGAAAATTTGGGCGTTTATCACCGCCGGCTGGTAACACGAACCGGCAGTGATAAACATATCATTACAGTCGGTTTGTGTTACCAACCGATAGTGATGGTCGACCCATTTGCACCACCGGTTTGTGGTACCAACTGATGGTGAAAATCTTTGTACTAACGGCTCGTAATACGAACCGGCGGTGATGATTTATGCTGCAGCACAATAAAATTCATAACTTTTTCAAATAAAGTTGGATGAAAACAAACTTTATATCGAAGTTGTAGATCTCAGTTGATGACTTTTTTATTTGAAATTGTTTATAGTAATTCTGTTTGAAGCTCTTATGTTTTAAAATTCAATTTTTTTGAATTATACAAACAACCTCATATGAAAAAATGATCAAAAGCAAAGTTATAGATCTCGCTATGATCTATAACTTTGTAGTTGACAACTTTTTCATTAGAAATAATTTGGGGTCTTAAATTTGTATCTAAAGTTCAAAAATTTTGAAATTCAAATTTTGCAAATGACCTCGGATGGAAAATCAACCAAAACCAAAGTTTTATATCTCAATGAGGACTATAACTTTGTAGTCGATGACTTTTTCATTTGAAATCATTTGATGTCCCATCAGTATGGTTGAAGTTTTAAAGATTTGAAATTCAAATTTGTCAAACGACCTCGGATGACAAAACCTCCAACATCAAAGATGTAGATCTCGGTCAAAACAACAACTTTGTAGCTGATGACTTTTTTTTTATCTGAAGTCATTTAGGGTTCTAAATATTTATTTTAAAATCATGAGAAGTCAGTACTAAAGGAATATACGTGCTATATGGACAAGTGACTTAGGAACGGAGTGGTTAGAGCAGCTACGTGTGAGGTCATAGGTCTCAGGTTCGAATCCCAGCACCGCGCAGCGCGCGGATTTTCACGCGAAAAATCTTGTGACTTGTGACGCGTGACCGTGCGGCTGGCTGGTGGGGCCTTCTCGGGATTTAAAAAAATTGCTATTTTTTTATTCGATTTTGAAATTTCTGAAAATCCTACCGGTGGTGATAAGTTTTCATCACCGCCGGTTTTGTAACCAGCAGTAATGACAATGGGCATCACTGTCGACTTACACTGCTGAGGGCCAAAACCGGCGGTGATGGGGGTTCTAGAGCCGGCGGTGAATACCTATTCTGTAATAGTGAGTATCTGAGGGCAACACAGGAGAATTCGAGCGGAAGGCACAGAACATCCTGTGGCGGGGTATCTGTGGCGCATCAGAAGCGGGCATGGGTGTTCGCTCGCAGCGGTTTGAGACGTAGACACGGTAGACGGAGAGTGGAACAGTCCTGCAACAGTTGTGTTGGCGCAGGTGGCGTGGTAGGCGACGATTGACCCCCTGTCAAGCGTGGTTGTCGGGGCAGATCTGCCTGGCGTCGATTCTAAAGGCGAACTCCATGTACTTGTCACAGGTCGTTAGGCTCGGGAACCATGCCGGCAGTTTGCTGCATGAAACAACGCCTAGAAAGAGTAGCATCATCTAATTTTTCTGTAAAATCTTTAGGATTAGCAACAGGAGTAGTAGGACTATCATCAGCATGGTCATCTAGTGTATTGCCCCTAGGTGTTTGGTCTTGTAGAAGGACTTCAACATGGAATCGTGTGCCAGCAGTAGAGTGGAAGTTTGCAAGTTTGCAAGCTCTGATACCATGTAAAGTTTGTGTAAGCATTCTCACCTCCTTGTGGAGGTCGCGTGAGTTTATTTATAGAGTCAAGAATAGCCCTTGATGTGGCAATACAAGGCAAGACTCAATCCGAGATTGATTGTTATAATTAGCCTATTATACAATATGCTAATGCGTACAAAGGATATTTACCATCTATGACTATCAATCAATCTCATATCTTTGTCATGCTGATTTGCATGATGGGAAGCTTCCATTCCTAACAGCGGGTAGATTGGGATGAGAGCACGCGGTGCTCAAAATGAGATAGGTGGATAAGAGGTGACTGATTTTCCATCTAGAGGTGTACGCAACAGGGGGAATTAGCTAGGGTACACAAGAATATGTGAAGCGCAGATGCTTTGGAAGGGGATGAGAGTAGAGCAAGACGGCAACGCAGATTTGTAATATAAGGAAGAATACAACTCTAGTGTTTGGAACTGGGTGGGCCAATTTTTCATGCGAGAAAGACCAAGGTGGGGCCATTTTTGCAAATGATCCATTCAATGATATAAGTATTTTAAAGACTGATGATGTAATATTAAATGTGAATATATATATAACCACCGATGGCCAATCAGTAAACATGGAATTACTAAATGTTGATTTGTGAGACACCTTTAACTACAATTGTTCATCGATAGTTATATTTATTTTAGCGACCGACATCTGACCACAATGCGTTGGAGTGGTGTATTGAAAGGAGGAGCTCTATCGAGAGGCCTTCCTAAAGATGCATTTTATTTTATATTAACCAATATGTATAATAACCTAAAAACCTCCACAAGAACAGTTAACTTCCACAAAACTGAGGTTCATTTTTTGAACTTACTAGGTGGATTACTATACTACTACAAAAATGATTTCAATGGTGCTCTTTTTCCGGAGGTAGCTCCATCAAACACTCTTTTAAAATCGATTTCTAGACGTGGTTGTTGTCTAAAATGTTCATTATTTTCAGAGGCAGTTGGGGTTACAGATCACCACTAGAAATGGTATTTATAGAGGCAGTTGGTAATGGGACCTGCCTCTAAAAATTGGTGCAGAAGAGAAAAATTAACTTTCTGGATATGTTTTAAGTTCATAGATTTTGAAATTCATTTTTTGATTTTTTAAACGACCTCGAATAGAGATACGTCCTGAACCAAATTGTAGTGCTCGACGAGATCTAAAACTTTATAGTTCACACTTTTTTCGTGAAACTTAATACAAAATGATAGCATCGTACGCTTCACAAAGTGATTCTATGGCACCATGTGGTAGGAGAGGTTTCTTTTGAGGCAAGAGGGTTTTTTTTAATTCATTCCCTAATAACCAACTCACAAGCGTGGTACTTCTCTAGTGGGCTTCTCTCAAGATTAAAAATATTCATGTTGTTTTGCTGATTTACAATTTTTGGAAAATAATTTTAGAACCGTGCCACATTGTCGACCGTGTCTAGAAACCGATGTCATGTCATCCTCTCAAAACCAATAATTTCTAAACATCTTTGAGATTTAAGAACCACGTATGTAAATTAATTTTGAGTGGGCCAAAACGCTGGATGCAGGAGTGCCAGATTATGATTTAGATCGATCGAGTCACGGGTTAGTCAAGGACTAATATATACACGAATATGTCCCTTTTTCTGTTAGTCACCCTGAGCCATCAGACCACGTCGTCTTCTCCATTGACGCTAGCAAAGTGACGAGAAAAACGGGCCGGCTATCCACATCTCCCGTGGCGAGTTGTACGTGCGCATGGTCTAAATTAGCTCAAGGTTACACGTAAAAAACCGGGCATAAAAAAATTCATCGCACTGATTTGACATGTCTTGGTATCAATACACGCCCTGCCGTCGATCAACCAGTAGTCAACACAGGATTTATATTTTTCCAGTGAATAATATATCTTTTACAGATGGCGGCATGCATACGTATGGCTGACAGTGCTGTACTGTCACCGACACTACTACTCGAGGCAGTCGAACTGTTTGTGAAGTAATCATGCGTGAAAGCCTCAACAAAAGTGAGCTTGTAACTTCTTGGTCGTATTAAAAGTATATAGGATGGCAGAAACCATCGTTTAACAGCTGGGACCGAAGCAAGATATATAAAAGTAGAAACAATTTTAAGCAACAAGAGAGAAAAGTTGAAATGACCAGCACTTGAAATAAACACTCTCTCTTAGCTTCTTCATCGTCATGTGCAAGCGGCTGCGTCTTCCTGGCTAATCCGATCTCTATACATAACAAAGTAATAAGGAAAAAAGTTGGAAATGCTGCTTAACAAACAAGTCATCAACTAGGCAGCTGGACGCTAATGACTAGATTATACCTAATTAAGTATCCCCAACAATACACTACTATATAGCCCAATTGAACTGAGCCGGCCGTCCACCAGTACGTAGTAACCACTCGCTCTTCAGCGATTGGCTTTGCTATATCCTACAAGTTTTCCACCCCACACAGGGTGTAAACCAGAACATGCTTCGAGTCTTGGAGACTATCAACAACGCAAAAAAAAAAAAAAAAAAAAAAAAAAAACAAGTACGTACGCATATGACAAGACAGCTGCTATGTGGCTAATCATCGGAGGTGGCGGCCGCCGTCTCGGCCGGGCACTCGACGATGCTCTCAAGGCTGGGCCGCCACCCGTCGTCGGCGGCCCGGCCCTCACGCTTACGCGCCATCTCCTGGAGCACGTCCTCGAGGCGGCGGTCGCCGGCCTTGAGCTGCGCCACCAGCCACCCCAGCTCGCCTTTGGTCAGCACCATCTTCACCTTCATAACCGACGGCGCCACCCCTTCATCAATTATTACCTCCTCCTCGTCACCGGCGGCGCTTCTCCTCCGCTGCAGCTGCTGCTGCTGGCGCCCTGGTTCTACGGCGCCGCCGCTGCTCTGGACGCAGTTGCCCATGGCTGAGACTCCGTGACTGTACCTAGCTCAACTGCTCAACAGCTAAGCTCAGGCCGCGGCTAAGTTATGTTGGTTATTATTGGGTGGCTTGGGCCTTGGATTGGGTTGGGTTGGTACAGCCGTGCAGGCGAAGTGTGGCGTAATAAGAGGGTGGGGATTGGGAGGAGGACGAGGTGGAGGTATATATTTGAGCATTATATTGTTGTAACTAACGCTGTTTTGTTTCGTTTGTCATGTGTGCTAGCTGGTGCATCGGCAATTGCAATATATGTGGCGATGAATGATCCATTTACCGTCGCTTTCTAGTTTCTAGGGCACATGGTGGGGACCAAGATTATGCAATGTCATCGTCATTATGAACTAATGTTTTTGACCTTCAAAACAAATTATACTTTTTACTATAGGAAAGATGTGTAGTAGAGGCAGCTAGAAACCGTTTGTAGATGTGTCTTTCTCATTCGCCTCTACTAGCTTGATTGTCTTTTTTAAATCATCCGATTTAGAGATGGCTATTCAACCACCCTAGAAATTGATTTATAGAGACGTCTGAAATGAAACCTCAGTCGCATCTGAAGACCAAATTTGTTCAAGCGGCTGAAATTCCTAAAACCTTTGAAAACATATTTCCAAAGATGACTCTTTTTCCTAGCTGTCTCTAAAATAAATTTTCAAAAGCTCAAAATTTCTCATCAAATTTAAAATTTCGTATTCTGATTGAATTGCACATAAACCAATATGCATGTCATCATCAAAACACATATAATAAGGGGGTGTTTGGTTTGGCCTGCTAAAGTTTAGCTGGCTAATTTTAGTCTCATTTAGTCACTTTTTACCCCAACACTATGATTAAAAGAGACTAAATGGGCATTTAGCCAATTAGTTACCAAGTGGTTGCTAAATGGGACTAAAGCCCAGGCTGCCTCACCTTTTAGTCATTTGGAGCCAAACACCCTGACTAAAAAGGACTAAAAGGCTTCTTTTAGTCTCTTTTAGTCTACCAAACCAAATAGGAGTGACTAAAGTTTAGCAGCTGATTTAGCTGGCTAAAATTTAGCAGCTACAATCCAAACAAGGCCTAAGTCATAGTTATATGATTGCAGTCGCAGTTATCACCACCAAAACACTCACCACTTACCTTGGAGCGAGTCTAGATGCTTACAACGAGTCACCTGTATATTTTGTTATGTTTGGTCACCAATTATATAGAGAGAGATCTCAAAGTTTTCCGATCCATATTGCACGTGCGTGGATATCCTGTTACGGATGGGATGATAAAACTGTACACGTTACAAGAAATAAGTACAGAAATAGACGAACATGTATACAAAGAAAGATACCAATCACAGGCATCCTCGACCACAAGGTTATATACATGACAACGTTTGGGGCCTGACGACACGTCCGTCGACCAACGTACACGTACGACCCAACCGACGCTGGTAGTTAGCTGCACGTGAACTCGCTACCATCCATGCACCAACGACACAATTATAGGCCAATTGGCACCAACACAAAAGATTCCATTTCCATTTCACAGTCGTCGTAACCTACTATACTTGAGGTGGATCAACTTGTATATCATCAGCTCGGACGGGAGATCCCACGACGACCCATCGAGTATGCATATTAAACGCATGCAGGCGTGTATATGTACATATATGTATTGTGTACTCCCTTCGTCCTGTAATATAGTGTATTCTGGTATTCAAAATCTATCCTCAAATATAATGCATTCGAGAGGACAAAAACTAATTTTACATTAAATATTTTCTATTTATCAACCAATCACTATCCATCACGCTGATGATAGCGTCTGATTTAGAAAATAAAATAAGGGTGCATGTGTCTTTTATGTTCTCTTTTAGTTTGCCTTAAAATTCTTAGAATACACTATATTAAAGGATAGATGGAGTATGTATCTTTTGCATGATATAGCTAGCTAGCAATTCTTTGCAGGTAGCTAAATTTCTTATGATTAAAATAACATACGCCAAACATATATTATTTCAAACTTCACATTTGTACTCCTGATCATCGATTGATTCTACTCATTGCATTTATTATGCATTTAAATTATTTGTACCTCTGGCATTCAGATGTTTTACTTTGACCAGCTCCTTGTACAAGGCAAGCAAGGTACATGATGATGCTTGTAGCCATACCTAAATAAGGCCCTATTTGACACAGCTTCATGAGTTGTGAACTGTTTTTTACCAAACGAGTCCTTTCAAAACAGTTTCACTCATGAAGCTTATTAAATTGTGCTCTCACATATGTGAACATAGGTATATAATAAAGTTTACTTTATTAATGGCAATGTTTCAGAACAGGGCTGTCAAACTATTTGTCTTTCATCTACAACATCTTCACTTCTGTTTACATACATACCTGATCTCAGCTGCCTAGCTTCCGTTGAGCGTCGTGGATCATGACAATGCTACAAACATTCAGCAAACGGTACAGGAGCCACGCAAACTGCCATGGAAAAAGAAGAAGAAACAAAACAAAACACCTAACAGCATGACTAGCACGCTTACGGTTAGAGACCTGTCATGGTCAGTCAGAACATGAGCAAAGCCGTCTACTACTAGTCTACGGAGTACTACACAACGGGAGGCAGCTGGAGAAGGAGAAAGAAGGCCGATCCTGATAGGAACAAGCGACGTCGAGCGCTTAGCGGCGGTTTCGCCATCAGCCCATCACTCATCGCTCACGAAATTGCCCGGCTAGCTAGCTCAAACGGTCTTCCATTCCTGCTGACATGGGCGTAGCATCAGGCTGACATGGCACTACTCACTCCAAGCTGCCAAATTCAGGCAAGGATTCCCGTGTACATTGGCATATGGCATCTTACTGCAAGGAAACAAGTCGCGGAAAAGACAGGAGATGGTGCAAATGGCAGCAGCATCTACAGTGGAATCAAAACCTGACGAAACTAGTGCTGCTGTCATGTTCAGAGCTCTCTGCAACTTGGACTCCGAAAGTTGTAAGCGCACAAGGGCACGACACTGCTACACTACTAGGATGAAGATGAAGATGTGGTGAGACATCAAACCCTGGGCCCCACGACCAAACTAAGGCATTTTTTCTTTTTGTTTTTTGATTGAAGATATATAATAATATAAATGATGCAAACAATGACGTTGCGAATGCGTACAGTGACCCTGCTTTGCTTCTGACCCTTTTCCATCCATTGTAAGCCCAGAACATAGTGTGAGGATAAGAGCAGCAGTTGATGCATCGCAGTCACGACGATGTCAGAGCAAAAATGCAGGATTTCATTGCGCTAGCCGTTAGGAGCTGCACTGCACCGATGCCACAGCCAAAGAGCGAGGAGGGTGCCTGTCAGTCACTACCGAATCTGTCTCAGAGTGAGGCACGTATCATCTGCAAATTTGTTTGTGTTTTGGTTTCGGGGACAAGAAAGGAAGAAAAATGGCCAGAGATGACAAGTGCATTAGTACTACCGAATTCATCTATAGATTTACAAGAATGATTGAGAAATCACAACTAACCACCTCTACAAAAAAAACAACACGGTTAACACGTTGCTGTCAAAACTCAACACCTCACCACTTCTTTTTTGAGTGACACTCAATGCTCCCCACTGTCTGAATTGGGAAATTAAGGCACGAGCAGAATAGCTAGAGTAAGCTGACCGCCAAGTATGACCTAACTTTCCTGTTTATTTTCCCACAAACAAACCATCTACAATACAGAGTGATACTGCTGAGAGAACAGCATATATCGTTCTTTAATTTTCTTCTCTGTCATCGAACATACCAGATGTTCATTGTTCATTCTTATCATTGAACATTGATCGCTGTTGGCCCGTCAGCCTGTTTTCAAGTCTCGATTTGTAAAACTTACCATATTGTTTGAATTACATTGCACCAATAACAACCAGAAACAGATTAGAACAATTTAAGGATGTAAGATTTCCGTGCATTATCAGATGGCTGCTGGCTGGAGCCCTTGTATGACAACTGCAGCTTTCAACCTGTAAAGAAAGTCCGGTATATATACAAAGTTAGGCGACACAGGGTCTAGCCGGCTGCCGAGACGCAGCTCAGCTCAGCCGGTGATCGGGGACGAGCAAGAACTCACACAGCGCACGCGAACGCTTGGACACGAAGTCGATATGGTGTGCTGCCGGCTGCAGCACGAACGTTACAGCCTTTTCTATTGTTTCCTTGGGTTCCTTACGGCACCTCCAGCGTCAAATCGAAGCGAACCTGACAAGCGTGCCTTCTAAAATCGATTTTGAGGATGGTTCGACGCACCCAACGCGAGCATCGTTCGGTGAGGACAGCTAGTGGGGACCACAACAGAATAGAAAAGAGAAAAGTAGGCGCTGTTCTCTCTATGCACTCCTGCGTGAAGGATGAAGTAGTACTTGCGCAGCTGTTTTTTACTCGCTCGGTTCGAACCGTGTTGAAGAGCCGATTTGAAGAATCCATCCGCTCGGTTTGGTAGCTCTAGCGTTGGAATCGAACCATCCTTGTTTTTCTCTCTCCACGGTTCGGTTTCTGAGCACACTGGAGCTGCTCTTATGCAGTGTAACAAGGCTGTGCCCACATCGGGATTGCCGCCGGCTCCCTTTCCGGACGCGCGCGCCGCTAAAGTTTCTGGCGCACAAGCGCCTGCCCCGTCCCCGCACGTCCATGTTCTTCTTACCCGGCGAGCTCCGCCCCTGCCCACCTCGACCACCGCTCAGGCCGCCGGGGTCCTCCCCGCCTGCCGCCCACCCCTGTCGGACAAACCCATCCTTCCCTAATCCCAATCCAAGAGCTCATCCGCGACTCCTCGCCCCCGCCACCTGGCACCGCACATCCGGATGTCCTCTGTCGCCCGCTCGGCGGGACCGCCGCCGCCTCGCTCACCGCCCTCGACCCGACACAACTGCCGGGCCGTGCTCACCTTCGTGGGAACGCGCCATACGTGGTGTGGCCGTGTGTCGTGGGGTCAGAACCGCGGCAAACATTGTTGTTCGAGGTGGT